CTGGAAACCTCGTGTATGAACTGGGAGCCCATTTTCCAATCTCTTTTCATAAGGGAATAGACTTAAGTCTATTTATTTATTTCTCGTGTCAGGGCAGCCAGTCAATTATATTACATTTCTAACAGAACAAAGCAAACAAACAGAAAATACAAAATGTGTGAGTTTGGTAGTTGATTAAATGTCCTTTGACCAGTATCTGGCCACTTGGAGTGCTTCTGGTGTTGCTGCAAGAAGGTCCTCCGTTGTGCATGTGGCAGGGCTCAGGTTGCATTGCAGCAGGTGGTCTGTGGTTTGCTCCTCTCCGCACTCGCATGTCGAGGATTCCACTTTGTAGCCCCATTTCTGAAGGTTGGCTCTGCATCTCGTGGTGCCAGAGCACAGTCTGTTCAGCGCCTTCCAAGTCGCCCAGTCCTCTGTGTGCCCAGGGGGGAGTCTCTCATTTGGTATCAGCCATTGGTTGAGGTTCTGGGTTTGAGCCTGCCACTTTTGGACTCTCGCTTGCTGAGGCGTTCCAGCGAGTGTCTCTGTAGATCTTAGAAAACTATCCAGAAGCAATCAGCATGCAAGCAAGCAAGCAATACTTAAGTCTATGAAAGTGTATAAGATCAATGTGTTTCTCTCAGGCTGGATCTACATTGTCCTGTATTCCAGAATCTGATCCCAGATTATCTGCTTTGAACTGGTTTATATGAGTGTACACTGCTAGATAATTTGGGATAAACAGATAATCTGGGATCAGATCCTGGGATATAGGGGCAGTGTAGACGTAGCCTTAATTAGAGCGCATCTACACTGTCAAATAAATACAGCTTGACCCCACTTTAACTGCCATATGTCAGTGCTATGGAATAATGAGAGTTATAGTTTTTAGCTCCCTCTGCCAAAGGGTATAAGTCAATGTTTCTTAATCTGGGGGTTGAGACCCCGTGGGGGGGGGGGGTCATGAAGGGGTGTCAGAGGGGTCACCAAAGACCATCAGAAAACACAGTCTTTTCTGTTAGTCATTGGGGTTCTGTGGGGAAAGTTTGGCCCAATTCTATCATTGGTGGGGTTCAGAGTGCTCTTTGATTGTAGGTGAACTAGAAATCCCAGCAACTACAACTCCCAAATGTCAAGGTCTATTTTCCCAAACTCCACCAGTGTTCACATTTGGGCATATTGAGTATTTGTGCCAAGTTTGATTCAGATCCATTATTGTTGAAGTGCTCACTGGTTGTAGGTGAACTACAACTCCAAAACTCAAGGTCAATGTCCCTCAAACCTTTCCAGTATTTTCTGTTGGCCATGGGAGTTCTGTGTATCAGGTTTGGTTCAACTCCATTGTTGAAATTCAGAGTGGTCTTTGATGGTAGGTGAGCTATAAATCCCAGTAGCTACAACTCCCAAATGACAACATCAATCTCCCCCAGCCCCACCAGTATTCAGATTTGGGCATACCGGGTATTTGTGCCAAATTTGGTCCAGTGAATGAAAATATATCCTGATTCCTGCATATCAGATATTTACAGTACGATTCATAACAGTAGCAAAATTACAGTTATGAAGTAGCAACAAAAATAATTTTATGGTTGGGGGTCACCACAACATTAGGAAGGTTGAGAACCACTGGTGTAAGTGCTTTGGCAAAGTAAATCCCATGACAGTTAGCCATGGCAGTTAAAATGGTGTCAAACGGCATTAATTTGGCAGTGTAGAGGCACTTACAGTGATGGAAAAAGTGTGGGAAACGGCAAGGTGATGAGTATCCATCAAGAAATGCTTCCAATACTTTTAGGGGTGCAAAAAGTGAATGTTAAAGATCTATAAAGTTGGGTTGAAGTAAGTGAATGGAGACAAATATTTCTCTTTCAGAAAACCTATAGTTAAAGTGTAGAATTTTCTACTGTAAGGTGTAGTGATGGCCAACAATTTAGAGAGAATTTAAAAAGTGGTTTAGACAAATAAATGGAAGATGAGCCTAACAGTGGAAACCAATTTGGACAACATGTCTCTGTATATTAGTTGCTGATTTACACAGAAGTCCATTGATAGATTTTAGTATTGGAAGTGATCAATAATATAAGAGCTCAGTTGGATCACTTCACTTATGTTTCTACAAATCGTTTTTTAATTTTAATTTTTTGCCATGAGAATAATTTCTTCTGGATTCCACAAAAACAAAAGTTCTGCAGAAAATGTAAAAAAAATGGGATTTTGCATAGGTTCCAAAGCACCCTGGATATATACCAATGTATGTATGTATGTATGTATGTATGTATGTATGTATGTATGTATGTACACAGACACACACACTTAAAAATACACAAAATGCATATGCAGTAGATTCTCAGTTAACAGGAACTCAAGCAACTGGAACACTCAAGCAACTGGAAAAAAAACAGAAAATATTTTATTGCCTTCTGCACTCACAAAGTTATTTTTATAATACAGTAAAACTATGTTATATTAAGTTAAGCTTATCTTCATTTGCTTTTAATGATTGCATTTCAATGTTAGTATCAAGTTAATACAGAGTTTACGGTATGGTATAGTATTAGTTGGATCTATTTTTAATAGACTTGTGCTTTCAGGGTAAACCTTGAGCCGTTTTGTGTCCCGGCTTTTGGTGGGGGCCCCGATCCGTTTTTTAGAAACCTCCCAAAATCAGGAGGGCAGATATCTGTTTTCTCTCTGGGGTGCCAAAAGATCCCTTTTCTATTGGCCCATTATGGAGGGGGGGGGCTTCCAGGCTCCCCTTCCCATCGTTTTAGGTATTTAAGCTGTTTTACTCTAGAGAAGAGGCACTCAGCTGCAGGCAGGCCCACGCTTTAAGGAGATTTCTTACCTGTTTCTACTCTAGAAGAGAGGTACTCGGCTGCAGGAAGACACACATACTTTCTGGGCCTGCACGCCACACACACATACACACTCTTTCCAAGTCAAAGAGGCAAGTTCTTTCTTACTCTAGTGGATGCGCTCGGCTGCAAGCAAGCATGCAGGCCCAGCTCTCTTTCCAAGACAAGGAGGCATGGAGCACCACGTGCTCACGAAAGCAATCGGCTCCCACTTGCTTTTGTGTCGAACTGATTTTTGTACTGGGAAGGGACTTCCCGTTATGTGTTCCTAAAGGTAATGAAAATAACGAAAGAATGGATGTAACTAAGGGAAACAGATCCGCACAAAATTCTAATTTTTAATAGTAATTCTCAAGCAATCAAAAATGATGCTTATAATAAATAATAATAAAACTTTATTTGTAAACTGCCCTATTTCTCCAAAAGTACTCATCTAAAGATTTCCATAGGTGCCAGTTAACAGAGAGTTGATTGTATATCTGAAATGTTCAATTTTTCAGATCTCAGTGTTTTTGAATGAACAATAGCTACATTTGAGCTTAAGCTCAAATTAAATTCTTGAGTAGTAACAGTAATAATTCTGAATTAATTACAGTGGAATCCTTCTGTGCGAGCAGTGTGCATATGTGCATGTATGCACATTCATATATAAGCATGTAATTATTGTAATGTTTTTCCTACAGTGCTGGTGCCACGGGGCTGTGGATTCAGTGTGGATGTGGACACACCAACCATCTTCCCAGTGCAAACTCAGAGCTTTGGAGCAAGCGTGGCACAAACAAGAAACGCGTAAGAGGAAACTGATTTGAGACTAAGGTTGTTGGAATTGGTTTCTGGGGCAAAGACTGGAAGTAAGGGACAAAGACCGCAACGTAAAGATATAAAGTTAGATAGCAAGGCCCTTGATTGTTCTCCTTGTATCCTGTTGAAAACAAGTGATACTATCACAGCAGAAGCCACATCTGATGTCTTTCAGTTTCTATATTACTTTTATGCCACTCTTCTGGCCCCTTTTATAATGTCAAAGACCTAAAGTGACTCCTCCAAGATTTCACAGGTGGAAACCAAAACAAATGCAGACAAGCAACATGAATATACGATCAAGATGGCCAAGATTATCAAGAAGGAAGTACACAAAAACTAGGGGTGCATCTATACCCGGTAGCTGGTAGGCTATTAGGAATTGTGGGAGTTAAAATCCAAAACACCATGAAGGACAAAGTTTTCCCATGCCTGAGCTATGTTGTTGTTGTTTATTCGTTCAGTTGCTTCCGACTTTGTGACCTCATGGACCAGACCACGCAAGAGCTCCCTGTCAGTCATAGCCATCTTCAGCTCCTTCAAGGTCAAGTCAGTCATTTCAAGGATACCATCCATCCATCTTGCCCTTGTCGGTCCTTCTTCCTTTTTCCTTCCATTTTCCCCAGTATCATTCTCTTCTCCAAGCTTTCCTGTCTTCTTCCTATGGAAATCTGTATGTGTGGAAAATGTATGTGGAGTCACACATTTTCTTTGCCCACATTTTCTAAAAAAAACCTTTGGTTGAATTCTTTGCGTCTCCTCTTGAGCTTCAGTGAACCTGAAACAACAATAATTACTGCAGTTGGTCCCATTAATTCTTTGTTTCCTTGGCCTCTCCTTTCTTTCGGTTTCCTTTGTTGTCGATAAAAAAAATTTGGCAGGCATTTCTCTTGTTCTTTTTTTCCTTTTTTCCTTAGTATACAATGCAGAGAGGAGCCCCCAGCGGCGCAGCAGGTTAAACTGCTAAGCTGCTGAACTTGCTGACTGAAAGGTTGGTGGTTCAAATCCACAGAGCAGGGTGAGCTCCCACTGTTAGCCCCTGCTTCTGCTAATCTAGCAATTCAAAAACATGCAAATGTGTGTAGATCAACAGGAGCTACTTCGGTGGGAAGGTAATGGCCTCCATGCAGTCATGCTGGCCACATGACCTTGGAGGTGTCTGCAGACAATGCCGACTCTTTGGTTTGGAAATGGAGATGAGCATCACCCCCCAAAGTTGGACACGACTAGACTTACTGTCAAGGGGAAACCTTTACCTTTACCTATACAACAGAGAATGCTTTGCATGCTTTAGAAATATTAATGATCTCTCTCTTCACATGTATCTTCAGAGTGTTTGTTGGGGCTCCACTCGAAAAAGGAGACATGAATGAAGTGGGTAGAATTTACCGGTGTGACGCTCACACAGGAAGTTGTGAAAAAATTAATATTCAACGTAAGTGTGAATAGAGGAGCTGTGGTAATTTGGTTCCCACACACATAGAAACACACACCTTCCATAAGGACAGAAGAAATGTGCCATAAATGGAGGGTTCCTCGGGGCTTTTGGGTGAGAATGTGGTTTTATGAAATGTGATATTTGAAAAGCCAGATGTTTCGCATGCGTGAGAAAGAATTGAGATCCTGTAGGAAGCGAGAAACACAACGTGGTTAGGAAGACCAGTGTAAGGGGCTGAGGTGAGGGATCCAGGTTACAGCAAGGCCTTTCATTTTACCAGAACTCCCATATAATGCAGTTTCATATCGTTGGTGGTGTGGTGGGGCTCTTTGATTGTAGGTGAACTATAAATCCTAGCAACTACATCTCCCAAATGCCAAGGTCTATTTTTCCCAAACTCCACCTGTATTCACATTTGGGCATATTGAGTATTCTTGCCAAGTTTGGTCCAGATCCATTCTTTTTTTGAGTCCACAGTGCTCTCTGAATGCAGGTGAACTACATCTCCAAAACTCAAGGTCAATAGCCACCAAACCCTTCCAGTATTTTCTGTTGGTCATGGGAGTTCTGTTTGCCAAGTTTGGTTCAATGCCATCTTTGGTGGAGTTCAGAATGCTCTTTGATTGTCTGTGAACTATAAATCCCAGCAAGTACAACTCCCAAATGACAAAATCAATCCCCCTCAACCCCACCAGTATTCAAATTTGGGCATATCAGATATTTATGCCAAATTTGGTCCAGTGAATGAAAATACATCCTGCATATTAGATATTTACATTATGATTCATAACAGTAGCAGAATGTCAGTTTTGAAGTAGCAACAAAAATAATTTTATGGTTGGAGGTCACCACAACATGAGGAACTGTATTAAGGGATCACAGCATTAGGAAAGTTGAGAAATACTGCTTTGGAGTGTTTTGCATGCAAAGCTAAAACTCTTATTTTTTGTTTCATCTTTACAGTTTCTCTCATAGACTTCATAATTTGCATGTGACTCAAAATTCTTTTTAAAATGGCTTGTCTCACAAAGTCCATTTTGGTGTTATTTTTTTAACCCTTTCGGGCCTCTGTCAAGATGTAGGCTCATCTTTCTGGTCTGGAGTTCCAACAACAAAGTTTACTTTTAGTTTTCTAATTCCTTGGTATACTTTCCTCCTTAAACTTTGTCCCTCAAACCCCTTCCACACAACTGTCACATTGAACTGGATTATGTGGCACTGTGGACTCAGATAATCCAGTTCAAAGCAGATATTGTGGATTATCTGCCTTGATATTCTGGATTATATGGCTGTGCGGAAGGGCCCTCACACACTTATGTTGCTGAATCTTCGCTCTGTGAACACTTCTGGCTTCTCTGAAATCATTTCAGCTTGAAGGGAATCCTGACATGGAGTTTTCTTGGCAAGATTTGCTCAGAGAGTCTTTACCATTGCCTTTCTCTGAGGCTGAGAGTGTGTGACTTGCCTAAGATCACCCAGGGCCCTTCCACAAAGCCAGATAACCCAGAATATCAATGCAGATAATCCACAATATCTGCTTTGCACTGGGTTATCTGAGTCTGCACTGCCATATAATCCAGTTCAATGTGGATTTATACAGGTGTGTGAAAGGGCCCCCAATGGGTTTCCATGTGGGAATTTGAACTCTGGTCCCCCAGTTGCCCAGCATTCAAACCTGTCTGAGGGCTAAAGATTGTCCACCAGAGATTTTTAGGAGCCAGAATGCCTGTATTTTTTGAAGATTGTAATCTCTTTGTGGTTAAGGTTTTTCTTTTTCCTTTTCCTGTGTAAAGAGTTATCCATATTCTTATTTAAATTTCAGGACCAGTCGATGCTGTCAATATGTCACTTGGTTTGTCATTGGCTGCCCATGATTCTCAGGTCTTGGTAAGTGTATCCAGGTTCACACTAGTTATTTTGTAAGTGGCTTCAAGTTCTAATAACAATAACAATAGTAATAAACATTTGAAAACATTACTGTTTTGGACTCCAACTTCCAAAATGCATCTAGCTTATATTGGGGCATTTTTACCCACAGTGTATCACCTGTATTACCTGTATGGAGAGCAAGAGTAAGATAGCTCTTTGCAGAAAGCTCAGCGCAGTCAACTTTTAACGTTTCTCGAGAGTTTCAGATAGGATTCAGTCCTAGCTGGAGATCTCTAGTATTAGTGGGGGTTTCCTATCTCATCACTGACCAGACTTGATCCTGCTTAGTTTGCTTAAGACAAGATGGGATACCTTCAGGTTATTGTGTGCATGCCTTCAAGTTGTCTGCTGATGTAGGGTGACTTGTTAATTTCAGGGTTTTGTTCGGCAAGGAATAAAGTTTTGTCAGTTCCTTCCTCTGTAATTCAGCCTGCAGCACCTGGTATTAAGTGGCAGTCAAAGTGGAGACTGAACTAGTTCACTGACTATATGTTGTTACAACATGTGTGTGTGTGTGTATAATAAAATGTTATTTCAGACCCTGACTTCAAGCCATGAAGGCAAAAGTGAAATCAGGGTTCAGCCAATACCATCTGTCAACGATGGAGCTGGAAGGCATTTTCAGCCCAGAATCATAGAATCATAGAGTTGGAAGTCCAACCTTCTGCCCAGAAGCAAAAAAATCCCATTCAAAGCATTCCCAATAGATTGTTTAAAAGCCTCCCAAGAAGGAGCCTTCACCACACTCCGGGACAGAGAGTTCCACAGCTGAACAGTTAGGAAGCTCTTCCTGATGTCCAGGTAGAATTACCTTTCCTGTTAGTTTAAAGCCATTGTTCCTCGTCCTAGTTGTTGTGGTTCAGCATGTGATTGTTTCATTGCCTGATGTTTCAGAGACCAGTGAACAAACTTTTGCAAACCCTCAGGAGTCTGAGGCTGGAAATTTTGAACAGGAGTCTGGTGTTGCTCCTGATGCGGCTGAGGATTCTGGGATTGTCAGGTCAACAGTGGATGTTCAGTTAGAGACAGATTCAGAGGCTGATAGGCCAGAGTTAGCTTTCCCAAGGTCAGAATTTGATCGGAATGTGTTAATTGGAGATGTAGAGCAGTCTGACTCCCCTGAGTTAGTCAACAGAGACAGATGACCAAAGGGAGGCATCGCTCTCCGAGCTTGTTATCTAAGAAAGGCCCTCCCCAGAGTTCTCAAGGAAAAAGGCATAGTTTCTTACGTCTAAATGAGGGTTTATTTGGATAGATTCTTCAGAGGAATCAGTGTCTAGTATAGGTAATATACCCCTCTCTTGTTTCAAGCTTCATGGGCCTTGGATTTTCCTATGTGGTTTTTCATGGTTTCAAGTGTTCTTTGTGGTTTTTTGTATTGCACCTGGAATCAAGTGGTATCATGGACTTTTTGGATCTGTGCTATGCCTATCATATACCTTTAATCCTCTGGATTGTTTTGTGTGCTAAATCTTCAGTTTAAAGGCCTTGCTTGTACCTTGGTCTTTTGGATTATTGCTTCCAAGTTTTTAAGTGACTGTTTTTACATGGACTATATTTTGTATTACCTTTTAATGCTTTTATTCTTTTGCTGAAGCTACATTTAATCTTTAATAAACTGCTTTGCTTATTTACTGAACTCTGGAGTGTGAGATTGGTTCAGAAGTGCCTTCCCAGCCCTGATGTGCAACACTAGTCTCCAGGGCAGCAGAAAACAAGCTTGCTCCCTCCTCCCTATGATTTCCCCTCACATATTGATACATGGCCATCATGTCTCTGCTCAGCCTTCTCTTCTGCAAGCTAAACGTGCCCAGCTCTCTAAGCCGCTCCTCATAGTGCTTGTTCTTCAGACCCTTGAGTATTTTAGTTGCCCTCCTCTGGACACATTCTGCTCCTGTGAAGACTGAGACTGTCTTGAGATGCTGAGAAGTATGATTTGGTGAATGTTACCATCAGAAGCACCTCTCTGCTCCCTTCTAAGGTTTGCGGGCCTACAGTTCACCGAACCTGTGGGGAGAATATGTATGTGAATGGCTACTGTTTCCTTCTGGACCAGAATCTCCAACAGCTCCAACGCTTCCCAGAGACGTTGCCAGGTGAGACCTCATGCCCACAGAATAGGGTCCAACGGATAGACAGAGCCAATGTGGCTGCAGGGTTTGCAAGAAACTATCGAACTAAGGCGTTGACTCCTGCAAGGTCATATACCATAAATCTTCAATTCTAAGATGTTGTTTTTGGTGTAGTTCAGTTGTTCTGGAGGGATCGGGAAGCAGGCAAGGACCTTCCCTTGTTGGTAATGTGGGGACTAGGGGAAAAGGCCCATAAAAGACAGGTAATAAAACTTCAACTTCCATCAGCAATGGAAAAGTAACTTCCCTTAAGACCCAGCTTGTTCTTTTCCCTTGAGACCAAGGCCCCTTCCACATTGAACTGGATTATATGGCAGTGTGGGCTCAGATAATTTAGTTCAAATCAGATATTGTGGATTATCTGCCTTGATATTCTGGGGGCGCTTCCAGACAGGCCCTATATCCCAGGATCTGATCCCAGGTTTTCTGTTTATCCCTGATTATCTAGCAGTGCAGGCTCATGTAATCCAGTTTAAAGCAGAAAACCTGGGATCAGATCCTGGGGTGTAGGGCCTGTGTGGAAGGGCCCTAGGTTATATGGCTCTATGGAAGGGCCCTAAGCTGGGTCTCCAGGTAAATCACTTTTCTATTCTTAGTGGAATAGAAATTTTATTATCTGTCTTTTCTTGACTATGATGGCACGCCTGAGCCCTTTGAGAAAACTGTATTGTCTGGCTTTACTTGGGGACTATCTGATACCTTCTGTTACGATTAAGACCCTTAGCAGACAGAGGAACTTTTAGGCAAGGTGAAAAGATAACCAAATAAGTTTACTGCAAATAAGATGAATAAATTGTTAACTCCCCCCGGGACTATCACAGGATAATTTAAACAATACATTACAAAGGGAGAACTTGCTGGTTGCAGTTGTCTTTCTGGGGTCTTTGAAAGTCTCTCTTCCCTCTGGTGCAAAGCAATGGTTATAAACTGTCTTAATCTTCTTTCCTGTGAAG